CTGACACTGATCTTCAAAGTTAAGCAGGTCGCTAATTTTTCAAGAAAATCCACGATCCATGAGCCTCGGCCTGCCTCAGCCGCCTTGTTTCAAGTGTAACCTGCTTCATCCCCCTCTCGCAGAATGTAAGCCGATATGGGCAATTTTAAGTGACAATTTTCAATAAAAAGAATTTCGGTGAATCCAAGGTTAATATTTAAACATATTGGATATTGGTGTTAGAGGTATTTATAATATATTGAAACAAAAGAATGAATTTTGCTATCATAGGCATCTCTCTGCTACCTTGCTTTCACTGCCTTCTCTGCTTCTCTAATTTCTCATTCTTGGACCAGAAATAATTTAAGATTTTCTGTGTAAGACACTACTTGTAGAATATGCTGTACTTATTAGGGTATTGTTTCGGGGTTGGCTTCATTTGTTGTTTGGTTTTCGGTATTGCCTGCGGATGGCTATGTCAGCCGAAAAGTGCTTCGCGGCATATAATATAACCAACATAATTAAGCTATTATGGCTACAATATTCTCATCATTCTTCTATTTCAAGGTTATTAGGTGTGTGTATACACACCTTTTCGATACAACATTAAAGATGTGTTTGTATTCGTGTTATTTTCAATAAATCGGATGGACATGCGGGTAGTAGATTCATAACTCGAAAGCAAATAATTAAAATTTGAAGTTAATTAAGCAAACAAGTTTAAGCTGCGATCGAAAAAGTTTTATCGCTCAATTTTCCCAATCCGTTTGTAAAATTTTTTGTCCGTACTTTTGAATTGATTTCTGGGCTAGAAGTGTAACTTCAAGATTTAATGAAACGCTCGATTGACATGATTCTATTCTCCCCTTGGATTTGTTTCATTTACTTAAAATGATAAAATCCGAATCACACCTCGATGCGGTGACGATACACAAAAATGTTTGCTCTAGGTTCATTTTCGGGATAGTTCTGACATCGGCCATAGAGCACATTTGTCCCTCAAAAAACATTCAGTTTTCAAAACAGGTGACAAATTATTTATACATCTATTCTCACGGGGAGGCTCAAAACATGACACAACATGTTAACAAGAAAGACACAGCGACAAAAAATCTAAAGTGCACAAAAATGTTTCGTATAGTGCGAAAAGTTGACATGAGATGTAATTTTTACACCGAGCCTTTCTGAGAACTGAAACGCATGTTTTTTCGAAATTCATGTCACATGGTTCCTCTTCACTGAACGCTCCTCAAAGGTGCACTATTGAAAATTGCTCAAGCCCCAAAATTTGAATTTCGATGGGCTTCATCGATGAGATCAGGGCTATGGCTGTGAACCGAACCGAAGACCGGAATGAACCGGTATTTTCTGGCGAGCCGAACTGTGAACTGAACGTATTTCTGCTGAACGGAACTATGTGCATTATGACGTGAGCTTTGTTATACATACATCCTTAGGGGTCTCAGGGCTCATGTCTTAATGCACATAGTTCCGTTTGGCATAAATACGTCCAACTGTAGTCTGGTTTCAGGAGATACGATGAACCGAAACCGAAGCGACGAAGGAAATAACAATGGCTCGATTAAAATGACTTTTCGGTCCGAAATTAGTTCGATTTTGGTTCTATACTGCTGAGCCTGATTTCATATTAAAAGCAAAGTATTCGAAAAAATCCATTCGTACTATATTTGGACCACGTTAAACAGAAAGGAACCAAGCCACATCAGCTATTGCCAAATTTAATTGGGCAATTTAATTTTTTACATGAAAACGGTTGTGCCGATTTTCGTGCAAATTTCAGTGAAAATTCTCTATGGTACGAAGCAAATTCCTTAAAATTGTCAAACAAATCCGAACAAACATTCTCTCGTAAAAAATTTAATTGCCCAGTTCAATTTGGCAATAGCTGATGTGGCTTGGTTCATTTCTGTTTAACTCGGTCCACATGTTCGTTCTGTTTCAAGGATAAAAAAAAGTTGGGAAAATGTGTTCAAAAAAATTTGTTTACTAAGTAAGTATGCTAACAGCACACCGAAAAAAGAATCAAGGAGAGAAAGTTTCCAGCTTATTAAACTTGTCGGTGCGAGAATTTTTTATGAAACATGAAGGCAAAAACTCAAGCCAAAAAATGAAAAAAAAATCCAACCCCCCAAAAAATCGTTGTCATTAAGGCCTTGACGTCATGCTGAATAAAGCACTATTCATAGATAAACACCCAGAATAATGCTGCCAAGAGTCAATGTATTAGAAAATTCACTTTTCCAGACATATACGCAGAATTTTCCTAATCAGTGTAGTGAAAATGGAAAGGCAGAAGTTAAAAACTCTGCCAGCTGACGACACTCAGCCGGCTATCTTAATGTGACACTCCTGGTTGCCATGGGGCTTCAATAAATCGGAGTACGGAGCATTGCCTCAAATTGGGTATCATCAGCCGACTTATTCCTCTAAACCTCCTCCACATAACCTTATAGTTTCTATTAGTTGAATATTTCCAAACAACGCCTACCTGGAAAAGTGTGAGATAAATATGACGGTTTTTCGGTGGTTTTTATTGTCAAACACTGCCAGCAGAGAAGAGAAAATAAATTTATAAGTAATAAGTCGTCACACCTCTGGCGTAAAAGCGTATCTTAATTTTTAAGTGAGCCCTGGAAAACGGAGTTATACGGATTCGAGCCCTGGAAAACAGGGAGTTATACGGATTCGAGCCCTGGAAAACAGGGAGTTATACGGATTCGAGCCCTGGAAAACAGGGAGTTAAACGGATTCGAGCCCTGGAAAACAGGGAGTTATACGGATTCCAGGTCTCGTCCCAAAATTTAGTTAAGTACGCCCTTACGTTGGAATCAGAGGAGCGATGATACATCTGCCGTACTAAAGAAGAATGCCGTATGAGCCATTAGGCGATGCCAAATTTCCCTCAGACATGTCACAAATTTTTAGAAAAATTTGTGAATGTTTTTGTTCCGATTTTTCAAAGGACTTCATGGGTAATTTGATCTAAAAAGTCTGAAAACTGTGCGGTAAAATGTAAATAACTTTCTTCAAAAATAAATCTTCTTGGAGAGGAAATTTGACAACATTCGAATGCTCATACGGCGTTATCACTTAGCACGGCAGATATGTCCACGGACGCGTAACGGACCAGAAAACGACTTTCGGGCAGGCCCGCTTTATTGCGTTCAACGAGTTGGACTCGAGCGCTTCAAAGATACGTTCAGGGGAAGGGAATATCCGACACAGAGAATAGGAAAACAAGTATGACGAATAAATCGTGATAAAATAGTCGTTAAGAACACCCCAATCGAATCACTTATTCTCGAAAAGACTAAAGTGCCAGAAATGGAATTCGAGAGAACAGTAAAAACTGTTTTAATCGACTCGTTCTAAATCTTGGAGATCAGAAATATGAATACGCGAGAAAATGATAATTTGAAATTGGATTATGGTTTATTGTGGTCGGAATCTGGTATAAAAAAATGTGTGAGGATGCGCCCCGAAAAATAATGCTGAAAGTTTCCATGAAACGACTCTACAGCATTCGTTTTTCTTGGGTTTGTAATGGCAGGGGCCGCAGTCCACATTTCACGAAGGCAACGTTTCAATAATTTAAACGATAGAATTTTTCGGAAATTGACAATGCTAAGATAAAAATCAGTGATAGTTCACTTCACCCGCACAATTGACGACGCTTGAATTACGTTGCGGCGTTAGAACAACGAGCAAAGCATCCTCAGTTTGTCTCTCTTGCAACGAACACTCGGCGATTTTCATTATAACGCCTGGATGCAACTATTTGAGCTCCACGGATGTCCGTGTTGCATACGCACGCAAGTGAAGGCGTTTTGACTCCCCATGCGGCACTTATTGCGCTCACCACTTCACCCGCGGCGCACAATGGATCGACTCAATTCGAGAGTTCGGACATGAACTTTTTTTAATAAAATTGCAAATTATGATGTTTATTTCGTCACAAGTTCAATGGCTTTTGAAAGAAAATTTTACGAGGAAATCAATGGAACCACTTTAAAACCTCAAAATTTCGTAAGAACGGAGTTAAGAGCTTTTAAAGCTTCCAAATTTTGTCCGACCTTCTCCATTGTCTCGATCCATTGTAAGGCGCTGATGAAGTGAACAACTAATGATTTTTATCACGACATGGTGAATTTTCCGAAATATTCATTGACGGCGCTGCCGGTCCTAAACATTGAACAATCATTTGGTATCCGAGTAAAATTTGTTTAGTGTTCTTCAAACTAAATGAACAAGTCGTTCTTAGTTAGGATTTTCTCATCTTTAAGAAATATATTTTCCGCGTTAAGGTGTGAAATTTTCAAAGAGCAATCATCGAGGCCGACCTAAAGTTCTCGCATGAAATCCTAATTTGTGGCTTTCACAAAAATCATGTAGGTGTTAGTTCATTCTTAAACTAGGGCGCTATAGCTATACATCCCCTGTCAACTTCGCGGTTCCAACCCCCCATCCCCCCCCAAGGCGCTTTGCGCCCTTGGCGTTGTGCTTTACTTTTGAGTTTTCACATCACACAGTATGCTTTTCCTTCATTTATGGATTTCCATTTTGGATTTCGAGTCTCGAACTTATCCCTTTGCGTTATTGGGCTATGCATTTCTCACTGAGGTCACAAGACAAGGCGCAGGGCCTTTTCACGAGGGCTAAAGCTCCTTCTCAGGTTAGCATACAACCTGCTACCTGTCCTAATCCCACATTCAGGCCGAGAATTCCGAGTCCAGCGCCATCTCCATCTAGGTGCGTTGCACATGGGGGTTACGGCACGACCAGCTACGGCTTTTGGGTTTTGCGCCTTTAGGAACCGCGTCCTATCCTGTACCTCGTTGGCCCCTTTGAGGAAGTACTCTTCGGCCCCCGGGAAAAAAGTTCCTAGTTTCGCCCAAGAATGGACGGGTTTATGATTATTATTATATTTTAAGAATGACAAAGTATATAAATATAGTTAATATATTATAGTAGTTAATATAAATATTCTGCTAACTTCACAGATCATCATCCAAAACGCCGCAGCCGCCGTCTAGAGCTCCTTCTCAGATTAACAGACAACCTGGTGCCTATCCTGGTTCCACATTCAGGACGAGCAATACAAGTCCAGCACCATCTCCATCCAGACCTATTCCATACGGAGGTTACGGCCCAACTGGTTACGGCACGACAAGTTACGGCGGCACGACACGTTACGGCGGCACGACAAGTTACGGCGATTACGGAGGCGGTAACAACAATTACGGGCCACAGTCGTTCAATTACGGCACCAAAGGACAAGTAGCCACCGCGACCAAACCTCAAAACCCTCCCGCCAGATCTCAACCTCCTGCCACCAAACCTCAAGTTCCTCCCCCTAAATCTCAACCTCCTGCCTCCAAACCTCAACCTCCGACCCCCAAACCGTCGTACCCGTCCGGTGGCCAACGTGGAAAGGGGGCTGCGCCCCCGCAAGAAACAAACAAAGATTACTTGGCCTGGCAGCAGAGAAAAAATGCAGAGATATCGTTCAGATACAGAAATTCTGGCGGATGGTAGGGTGCTTAATTGGATCCTCCGGGAGGAAAATTCATCAAAAGCGCGACCTACTCAAAAAACTGACTGTAAAGCGCCGAAAGAGCAGAGGTAAATCGCTGGATTTTAATTGTTGGAGTTTATACTACTCCAATAGAGCGAATAGTGGATGATCGTTGCCCGCGAAAGTGGAGCTCCTGTATGTGTCAGGGACTTGTGAGGGACGTACTGATTCCCAAGTAAAATTTCGTGAGAAACACGATGGTGCCACTGGTTTTCTCTAAAATCCAATCCAAAGCTGAAAAAAGCTCTTAAAGTTGAGGCTGTTATGGAGGGGGTATCCCACGCTACCCTGAGAGTCCAACTCCATACTGCCGCGCTAAGAAAGAACGCCGTATGAACATTCGAGAGTTGCCAAATTCCCTTTGATAAAATGTTCGTCTTTGAGGACAGATATGTATATTTCCCCTTGAAATTTCCAGAATATTTCGATGAAATTGCGAGCAAAATTATTCGAAAAATTGGAAGAAAAATATTCATAAGTTCACCGGGAAATTTGTGTTTTATCAAAGCAAATTTGGCAACGCCTGAAGGTTCATACGGCGTTCTTCCTTGGTACGGCAGTATATCAAGACAAACTCTCAATGCAAAGATAGGGAGCAACGGAGCAAAGGCATGACCAGGGTTGCCGTGTTTACAGTTTTGGAGTCCCCCAACAAAGTGGCAATCAATCCTGTCGATGTATTTGCTCCCTACCTTTGCACAGAGAGTTTGTTTAGATATAGGGGTGGACTCTCAGGGTAGCGTGGGATATCCCCTCCATTACGGTTTCAACTTTGATAGCTTTTTTTCAGCTCTGGAGTTTTTTCCAGAGGAAACCAGTGGCACCATCGTGTTTCTCGCAATATTTTACAGAGGAATTAATTCTTAAAAAGCAAATTCCTGGCCCATGCAAGGGCTTCATTGAGATGAACTGTTCCGTACCTTGCACACGGTAAGAGAAGGTAACAGGACATTTTGTGTTTATACGGGAAGTAGAACACACATTGCCTAAACTTTCGGTTAATACTATTCGGTTGGTTTTTCTTTGCGCTATATTGACCAAATCTTAGGGTTGAAAATGAGCAACCTCATCAAGAATCAGGCACAAGCAGCAAGGATCGAACCTGGATCACATATCGTCGTTTCTCCCACGAAAGAACGTAACTATATTTCAGTGTTGCCAGATTTTTCCGCGCACATTGCATTTTTATCGGGAGAATTTTGAGAATTTTTGACTGAAAATCTCACCCATTTTTCTTCTGCTCTCATGCAAGAATTAAACAAATTTTCAACGAAAATTATGTAGGTTTATTCTCGGATAAAATGGGCCTGTTGCAAACTTTTGCTAGAGCAAAAATAAGAGCTGTCTCTTGTAGATAATGCCTCAAAAATCACGATGAGCGCATCGGCAAAGTCTGAAATGCACTCACAACTTCACAATCTGCGTAAGAAATTTGCGTTTTTTTAAGCTTCCCGCTTCAAAAACGATACTACGGCACAGGTGAACATTTTGTCAGAGGAGTCGCTACATCGTCGGCGATATTCATCATGGCCGACGCTTGCGCGCAGTTCCGCGCATAATTTGAGGAGAGTTCAAGGTCAATCAATGCGGGCGTGGAAAATATGAACGTTAACACACCGATTGTTATCTGGTCTAACCCAATCAGGTGTTATCTCGTCCCATCAAACGTGTTTTGGCGGATTGGCGTCGGCCATGATGATTATTGCCGACGATGGAACGACTCTTCTTACAAAATGTTCACCTGTGCCGTAGTATCGTTTTTGAAGCGGGAAGCTCAAAAAACCGCAAATTTCTTACGCAGACTGTGAAGTTATGAGTGCATTTCAGACTTTGCCGATGCGCTCATCGTGATTTTTGAGGTATTATCAATAAGAAACTACTCTTATTTTTGCTCTAGCAAAAGTTTGCAACAGGCCCATTGCATTGTTCCAGTCAAGTTTTCAACCCTGGAATGAAGAATTAGTTCAAGGGGCCACTTTTCTCATCCCTAGATGTCTCAGAGTAACCTAAGGTTTCGGTCGATTAAAGACCAACTTTGTCAAGTCCTTTTGGTTGATCTGACCGAAAAAAAAGTAACCCAAAGTACCTAAACATTGACACGGAAATTTTTGACTGAACACTTGGCAGAGCACAAAATGAACTTCAAAATAAAAAAAAACAGCTATTTCAAAGCTCTAAGCGATTGCTTACCGATTTCCGTGCATTTCGAAGAGGTGGAATTTAACTGGACATGGAGTTTTTGCGTTTCTTGCTTGATGTTGCGAACTTGCAACAAGAGTTCTTGGTAGCTCGAGACGGGCAGTGTCATTCTTGAGGCGACATCTGAAACGGTCATAATAAAAAACACACGTTGAGAATATAAAATTATACATACCGTAAAATAATCGAAAAATAAACATACTCGTTGCGTCAATGAGGCGGTTGTTTCGAGTATCATTACAGCAGGGGTGTGGAATTTTCCCGAATCAATGACCGATCGGTCGTTCGCGAACTGACGAAACAGTCAGAAAATGGGCTTGTTGCAAGGTGCGGGGATTTGCGAATTGATAACTGTTTCTGGTGGCAGGTGGCATATTTCACGAAAAGAACGATGGCGCTACTAAAAAAGTTTGAAATGACCTCTCAAACTTAAAAAAAGCTGGTTTTGGAACCGACTCGCTCAAAACGGTCACTTTTACACTTTACTTCAACATGACTTTTCCAGTACATTCCCAAGAAATTCAGTGCTTTCTCAGTAAATCAAATTGGCAAAATTCAAAAAAATTCGAAAATGCGCTCCATTTTGGCGTACACCCTCCGATGCTGCCGAATTGTAATTTATATTTTTAATTATTGTATATTGTAATTCCTAGTGTTTTTTGACTTGTGTCATAGCTCCAATAATGGGGCTTTCATGTACGTAAATATAATAAATAAATAAATAAAAATTAATGTTGGATACGCGCGCTGCCACACGCATTTCCAAAATATTTTGTACACATCTCAGAACTGACCGTGCTAAGGAAAAACGCCGTATGAACATTCGAGAGTTACCAACGTTCCCTTGATGAAATTGTTATCATTGAGGAGAATTAGGAACATTTTCCCTTGAGAATTTCAGGAACTTTAGATCAACGTACGTACAAAATTCTCTAAAAAAATTGGTAGAAAAATATTTATAAGTTTACCAGGGAATTCGTGTTTTATCGAAGAAAATTTGGCAACGCCTAAAGGTTCATACGACGTTTTTCCTTGGGACGGCAGAGAACTTGGCGCGATTCGCAAGTCGCGAGTCCGCGAGCGAGACTTGAGAGTGGGGCGGCGCGATGCTTGAAGTATTCCTGCAGTTTTGCAGGCGCTTCCCGTGATCGTTTTTCGCGCTAAATTCGAACTTCCTGAAGTTTTCCTCAGAAAGATGAAGTCTCCTTTCACAGATCCGGTTACGGTTGAAGAAACAAGTCTTTCTTGCATATCCACAACAATAAAAAACAGCTTGGTCTCTTATCCGCTGACTCGGATCTTAACGCGGAGTAGAAAAATTGGATGGAGCGAAAGGCGTGATACAACCATTTCGACTTCCAAGTCGGTAAAATTGCGTGTCCGCAAAGCAAAGGAGAATATCTTTTCGACTGACTAGAAGAGTTGGATGGGACGTACTATTAGATGCAACTAACGTTATGCAACTATTTCGACTTTCGCAAGTAGGTGAAATTGTGAATCCACAAAATGATGGAGTGAATGACTTATCTCTTCGGCTGAATCAGAGACTTTAACGCAGGAGTAGAAAAGTGTAATAGAGGGAAACTCGTGATACAACTACTTTGACTTCCAATGAGGTAAAATTGCGTAGCCACAAAATGAAGGAGAATCCCTTTTCGACCGACTCAGAGACTTTAACGCGCGAATAAAAAAGTTGGAATAGGAAATACGAGATAAAAATACTTTGACTTCCATGAGGATTAAATTGCGTGACCACAAAATGAGGGAGAATGTAGTGTTCTATATCGTCCCGACTATTCGGTTTGTTAACCCAACTTTCAGCTCGTGTCACCGAATGTTCGGTTCGTATAACCAAGGTACTTTAGCCTAAGGTGAACGACATGAGTACGCGCAATGCCACTAAAAATGCCACTGAGGGCCGTTCATTTGATTGATGCGATAATTAAGAGTCATTTCCTGTTCAAGCCACGCGTTGCATACTTGCAGATACTTGGCCCGACGATTAGGACAAATGATGCAGTACATATCAGTGGAGTTATTAAGGCAACACGTCACGACGCAACGCGCAGTTATTTGAAATGTAACAAAATTGGTGAATTGCATACGGGACGATTCAAACCCAAACGGTTCCTTGCCGTTAATTTGTAGACTTGTCAAAATTTGAAGTATTTCTTAAGGAAACAAAGAGAGCGTCAAAAACTTAGTCTGATGCTTGTGATTTTGATGGACACCATAAATAAATTGAAAAATGGATCGAATTTCAGTTGAAACCGGGATCCAAAAAATGCAGGATCGGAAAAGCGCGATCTCGCATTATTGGTGAAACCAGTCGAGGACGAGAAATTGTTCGCGAAAGCAGTGAAATTTTTTTCCACTTTATTTTCTCAATTTTCTTTTCATTCTTTGAAAGGAAGCGGCGGTGATTTCAGTGAAAGAGACCGCCTAACAAGTTGGTTTAAATGGAAAAATTAGGCAAGCTCGCTACTTTTTCTTAAAAAAAACCGGGCTTTTCCAATGAACTAAAACCTTTTTTTTTTTTTTTTTACTAAAATGGTATTTTTAAGAGAGTAACCTAGATTTATGTGAAAGCAAAGACCTTTCTGGGCCCCTGAGTTGAAAGAACCCAAAAAATGGAGAAATAATCACTAGAGAAAACAGCTCAGCAATTCTACTAAAAAGGGCGGTGGGACTAGAGTCCCTTTATACCAAGGTAGATTTACACAGGTATGGAAAAGTTGAAAATTTCCCATGAGCCTCAGTACGTGTCACATGACCTCGTGACGTAGGTTAAGGGGCCCGTTTTTTAATTAAATTACAATCAAATTAACATTCAAACGTTTGTGCGTTTAAACGCTAAAATTAATATTGCATAACAAAAATTATGCAAAAAATCCCACAAAATTTTGACAAACGGTAAACCGAACATAATAAATCAAAATAATCAAAACATCCAAAATGGCTGACGTTAAGGGGCCGCTGGAGAGCCAATCAGAGGCCAGTTGTTTAGTTCTGTCCATACCTGTGTAAATCTACCTTGCCTTTATACTGAGAGTCAAGACAATTCGGCTCATGGATGTCACAAACGGGAATAAAGATTACAGAAATTGAACGTTGCTCGTAATTTTTGATCGGCCCATTCTCAAATGCCTTTCTCCGTTCCTCCTCTCATTCCGTTTGTTCCTTGCCGAACCCGTAATTCCCTGGTCCATTCCAGATTATAATCTTTGCAATTGGTGAAAATGAAATCTTTATTCCCGTTTGTGACACTGTGGAGGCCTAAAATACGGGAACCAATCAGAAATGGATTCAAATTGTCTTGACTCTCAGAATAAAGGGACTCTAGGTGGGACTAGCGTGAGCATATTGTGGGTAGGTATGCGTACTTACGTAAATATTGAGAACCATGCATGAAACCAATGTCAATATTCCGGATTGAAATTAAACAACTCCTGGACCTGGAGTCGGGAATAACCTTCAGGGAAATTTGCTTTCATTCCTGCAAATCGTAGACAGCAGAGAGCAATGCTACCGTGCTAAGGAAGAACGCCGTATTAGCCTGCAGACGTTGCCAAATGCTCTTTCATAAAATACCTATGAATTCATTGAAAAAATTGTGAAAATTTTTTTTCTAATTTTTCGGACATTTTTGTTCGCTATCTATACTTCCTATCTGAATCTGAAAATTCCAAGGAAAAATACGCGCATTTTTTTAAAAAAATAAATATTTTATCCGGGGAGATTTGGCAACGTCTGAGGGCTCATACGGTGTTTTTCCGCGGCACGGCGTGATGGAAAGGGCGCGGAAGGTTGCGGATTGCGGAGACGAGAACTTGAGAGGTGCAATCTGGGCGTTCCACCACTTTCTAAAGCGAATGGATTCCAAGCCGAGTTCGTTGGTGATCTAAAACCCGATAGGGAGCTTAATATTATTAGGAATAATAGACAGAGGGAACCCGTCATCTGAATCGCTCGGCTGGGCATTGAGGAAGAGCGTTGCTGCATCCTGCATGCCTGGTTCAGTCAACCTGACGATGAGAGAGGAGTCCGACAGATCAGATCCGAGATGGCTTTCGTCCGAGGATCCGGCGAATCTTGCAAGTTGGCAAAACTGTTTGTCCTCCATTTAAATGTATGTAAAATAATCGATTCCGGGCGAGGCAGCTTGCCTCGCCTGAAATCGATATTTTTAATGGATTTAAATGAAAATAATAGGAAAATAAGGAGAAATAATAATGTAGCCAACTTGCAAACTCATCTCTGGCTCCGACCACAGCCCTTCTCACCTTAAAAACCTTCCCGTTCAACACATCGATGACCAAAGTGCGAAACCACGTATCCATCTCCACTGCGGCGTTTCAAAATTTACTCTCCTCATTTTTTTCTTCGAAGAGAATCAAGACAACTAAGTAGCTCGAAACTGATGCAGAATATTCTGCTAACACGGAAGAAAACTCATGGAAGTTTTCAGGAAATTACGTAGACTGGTTTTCCGAAGAAAAAATTAAGTATGGCAGGAAGTTTGCAACGTCACAAACGGAGATACGTGGTTCCGCACTTTGGCCATAGACGTCTTACGTTGAGTCGTACGTATGGACGGTCTCGGAAGAACCCAGTGACTTCCAAATGCCTGATTTTTGGAAAGCGGAGGAACCGGCGATAAGTTGAAAAAAAAACTATTCTAAGAAATAAGTTTGGGATAGGGGTGCAGCTGCACCATTGCAGACACCATAGGGTGATCTGACGCACTGCAAAGGTGCAAATTGCTCTAGGCCTCTACAATTTTTTCCAACACGTTGGGTTTTCGCAAAATGCGTTCATCAAATTTTGTTAATTTTTAGATGATTTTTGAGTATGCGCCAAATTGCATTATTTTACAATATTTGAAAATCTTAAAACATTCGAAAAAATAAGAAAAAATTCTCTTGACCTCCACACTTTGGTAGCAACCGTGCAGTTGAGAACAATTTGCACCCCAGCTTTGAATTTTTTTCTAAAAAGATGCAGTGTGGTGTTATGCCTACCTGTTCTGGTATGGCAAGCAGCACCTATCGTGTCCCTGCTAAAAACGACTACGTTAGAGGCATGTTGAGATCATATTGTTACCAACATCGTCCAAAGTGATCCCTGATGGTGTCAATAGGTTGCTGATATGGTATCAACTTAGTGAAAGAGATCACTGTGAAACCAGTGTGTTATCGTCTCAGAGCCGTTCAAGTATTGGGTGTGGCAATTTTACCAATTTTTCAACACTACCTTTTCCCCTCGCAAAAAATCCGTAGACCTCTCACCACCCCCTCCTCTTATGGATTATGTAAAACTGAGTTATCCCCCTAATTGTTAAAAAATAACGGAGAAAACCTTAAAAATGATGGGGAAATTATTTGGAATGGAACTTTTTTTAAAATAAAAATAAAAATGGTAAGTTTTCGTATGACTGGGCTTGACCCCCCCTCCCCCTCAAAAGACAGACTCAGGCCCCCCTCCCCTCTTAAGTACTCTACACAATACTTGTAAAGCTCCCTGGTTCCATTTTGATAACACTGATCTCAACATGGTACCGCCTTGATGACATGTTAGCATTAACATGGTAATCACTAATGTAGTCGTTCTTAGCAAGGGTGCGCCCAACTCCAGATGCCCTCAGTAGAAAACTTGACATCTAATTTTTTTCGGCTGGTGTGTATTGCACGTTCACTTCGGATGCCAAAGTAATTTATGTCGCACTGAGTGGTACCTTTTCCATACGAAAGTGGCACTGTACTTTTATCAGGCACCTTTTTCATTCCCACCGCTTTCCAGTGAGCGCAATTCACTGAGAAGCCTAAAATTTCAGTAGGAAACCCATTGGAAGCAACAGCCTCAGTGATCTTTAAAAATTGTAGTTTTGTCGTAGCTTAGCCATTTTCTTGCGTATTTAACTGGTTTGGCAGGATTAATTATGTTTAAGCACATTGGCAGGGAACGTGACAAACATATCTACTGTACAGGCATGCTGCGCAGTGCTAGTGGCTGCCTCAGAAGATGCATGTTTGTACAAACATTTCAAAATGTGTAGAATACGGATTTTGCTATCCAAATCTGGAACTGTACATTGAAAACTTTGTACGAACATAGACAAACAAGCAGATTCAATTCACTGCAGGTTTTATACAGTGTTATTCGGTACACACTAAAGTTTGTATGATAGAGTTAAAACCTACTTTGGAATGCAAACTGAAGTGAATGCACCTCTTTTAAACTGCACTTTCCTGTGTTGCCCATAGTAGATTCTCTTCAAATTGGAATTTTTACGGATGCCCATTTCCTGATACATAATCCACACAGATTTGAATACATCATGATAGAGTCAGAAATTTGAGTGAACTGCTTTATTCCAAAATGTGGCAAAATGTGTTAAGTTCTTCTTTCATAATTCGCCTTGGGCGATGAATGCTTGTATTGACGCCAATGCAAGGTGTGTTCATGCAAGCACATTACAATGGAAAGCGTACTACATCAAAATTTAAACATTGCGCTTTTGGGAGAGCTGAAGTTCGATGCATACTCACTACAGGAGTTCCGTACATGCTTGATACTTGTACGAACGAGCCTGCTGAAGCCCTATTAGAGCAGAGGTTGTACCTCAGGATAGGAACTGGTTGTTTGAGGTAAGTAAGCTCCGCAAAAGCACGAAAGTTTAGAGTAAACAATTGAGGCAGCATACGTACCGAACAGATTTATAGCAAGTCCAAGTGCGACGAGAACCTTGTTAATCCGAGCGTTCACAATGAGAAAAACACGAAACACAAAAATTGGTAGAGTACGGATCCACTCTTCCTCACGTTCTCTCGTTTACCGATTGCGATCAGGCGATCTTGAAACGAAAACACTGAAATTTGGACGGGCGATCGAATGTGCTTTGTTTACGTCTCAAGAACTGTTCCTTCAAACTCTTTCGTTCGTCAAGACGTTCGTTCGGATTTCGCCCGTTGGGCGCGCTGGGCTCTATCGCTTCTTTGTACTACTAGCGCAGTCTAATGGGTGATTTGTTCAACTTTTCAATAACATTACACACATACACACAGAAATCACGTATCTACAGATCATATTCACGCACACATACACAATCATTCCAATCTAACCTATAAATAGTAAACAATAATCTAAGGACCCGCACCGCATCTGCCGAAATTTCTTTCCACCTCTTAATTTAAGTGGTAAAATAATTTTTTATTGAATCGCTAAACATCATCTTCTCTATTTTTCCTCTTTTTTAACTGTTCTTACCCTTTGAAACTCTTATCGGTCCAATATAATGTCCAGCTCCAGCACGGCCGCTTCTAAAAGCACACCTGCTCCTCCGGAAACGATTGACATCTCAAAAATACCAATTAAACACCTCAACGCACTGAAACAAGATTTAGACAAGGTAAGTAAACGAAGGCATTTATAATCATTGATAATTTCACAACTTTGCACATCTAATGTAGACCCTACTTCAGCGAAGTTCATCTTTTTTGTCCGTCTTAGCTGATTCCGGAAGTACGCAAGTATGTAGATGATCGGGGTTTATTCCTCTGACTCATGCTTTACCTCCCTTCTGTATGAAACCCTGGAATCATATCATCATTGCAATCATGAGGAGCTTGTTTCATGAGGAAGGTGTCTTGTCACCAAGAGCCAAACCTAAACCATGCACTACATTTTCAATGGGTAAAGTGCGAAACGATGTATCTTCGTTGCGGTGTTCCGAAATCTCCGCTCCTAGTTTAGTTGTACTTAGAGCAAAAAGTCAACGCAAAAGCTCGAAATTTGCACCGAATATTCCGTTAACATAGAAGGAAAATCAAGGAACTTTTCAAGAAATTACGCTGATCAGATTTTTTAAAAAAAGTCTGCGACATTGCAAACGGAGATATGTGGTCTTACACTTTTGTCATTGATATAGTTTCAGAAAAAAGTGGAGAGCTCTGCTCCTCACATTTTAGGTAATGTTAATTGAGGTGCAGACCATGGAATTAGTAAATGTAATATATGTTAATCTCCTTTTAGTAAGACACTTTTATTGAAGTCTATGAAGCAAATTACTGTTTTGGTACATGGTCATGTAACTCGAGAGCTTTTGAATGATTTCTATTTCTGAATTCCATGCATTCTTTTGCTGCAAACAGATCGCCAATTTTTTTTGGTCTCTCAATGAAGCATTCAAATCACCATAGTATACATGGCCAACAATTGGCCGCTGTGAATGTCAGATGAAATTTAAAACATGCAATCCTCACATGACTGGATCATTTCACAAAGAACCTCATCAACGCATTTAATCTACTTAGAGATAATTATCTCTCGTGTGTAGAGAGGAACTTTTGCCCATTTTTCATGTTGTCACTAGACATTTTGAAACTCTTTTGCCTACAGAACTAAAAAATATGAAAGCCTCACAATTTTGGACCCACGATTTTTGTAATGTTTAACTACTTGTCAGTCACAAGTCACTATGTTGGTTTGTTTCTACATTCAATTATTTCAATTCCGAATACTTCTTTATTTTTCAGGAACTCAATGTATTTCAAGATTCTCTTCAAACTCTCAAAATAGCTCAGACCAAATTTCAGGAATCAAAAGAAAGTTTGGAAGCAATCACTCCGGATAGCAAAGGAAAAGAAATTTTGGTTCCCCTCACCAAATCTGTATCCTTTTTCTGCATAGTATTCTGCTTAACTTTAAAGCAAGGCTAAAAACAGGAGCCTCAGCTGAATTTTGTAACTTAACTATCCATGATTTCCAAGAAGTTCTTGATTTCAATTTTTAGGATCTGTCATAAACCCTTCTTTATATGGACCGCGTTAAACGGAAAGGAACCAAGCCACATCAGCTATTGCCAAATTTAATCGGGCAATTTAATTTTTTACATACAAACGGTTGTGCGGATTTTTGTGCAAATTTCTATGAATTTTCTCCATAATACGTAGCAAATTCCTTAAAATTTTCGAAGGAATCCGCACAAACGTTCTCTCCTAAAAAATCAAATTCCCCTGTTAAATTTGGCAATAGCTAATGTGGTTTGGTTCATTTCTGTTTAACGCGGTCCGTACAATAGGGGGAAAAATCTTGATCATCAGTTGTCTTGTTGTTTGGATCAGCTTTCTTTCTATGCATTCTTCTCAAAGCTATCTTTCTTTAAATTTCTCTTAAAATGAATAACACTTTGCTTTTGCTGAAGGCTCTGAATGAAAAGTATAACCTTAACATTTGTTTAAGGTTTATGTACCGGGTAGAATATCAGATGTAGATAATGTTCTGCTTGATATTGGAACTGGTTACTACATCCAGAAGGTAAGAATTAAACCGTCCTCTCTCCATGAATAGAAATTATGAACCACAATTGACATTTAGAAGTAGAGGTAGAATATGGTGGTCGTATCAAAAATTACAAAAAATTCTAATCATCTAAATTCAGAAGTGTTAAGTTACTAGCATTGTTCGTGCTTGTAATACTGCCCGCTTCAAATAGCCAGATATCTGAAGTCCCTTCAGTCAAATTTAGTACCAAACTGATCTTTTGGAGACTTACAATCTAGGGATGTGTGCAATGAGCAGATTTTTTCCCTCTTCTTCTTCTTCTCTTTTTTTGTGGAGAAGTTTAGAAGCATGGAAGAAGTTAATCAAAATAGAAAGGAAACTTCATACGAGCAAATAGGTACTGATTATATGCCTTATGCATGAGCCTGTCCATAATGATTAATTTCCCCCTTGATAATTTTTGTTTTTTGTGCCAGCTGGAGTTAAAAATTTATTGATTCTCACTGTTGACTCCAGTGGGATTTAGAAGTTATGTGTAGGTTTAGAAAGTTTTAACATGTGAAAGAGTCATGGGGAAGCATGTTTGGTTTTGATTTTTATCATTTTATGTTTTTTTTCATAGAACTTTTCCATGTTTTGTCCTCTAGGATATCGAAGGAGCAAAGGACTACTTCCAACGAAAGGTTGAATTTGTTACGAAGAATATGGAAAAGATTCAAGAGATAGGTTTAGAAAAAAGTAGACTCAGAGATGGTAAGTTCACATTCTGTGATCAGTGGGTATGTAGAAAGTGCGTCTACAGAAAAAAGGGCTACTTTTTTTCGTCTACAGTCAAAATGTCTACATTAAAATGCCTACTAAATTTATGTCTACAGTCAAATATGTCTATGCTAATGAAATGTCCACGGTTTGTTTGCCCACTTGGAAAATGTCAAAATATTTATGTTGGCCACTAAAAATATGTAAAATATATATATAAAATAAAAATTGTCTGTCTTTGGGGATACACTTTAGGTCGGTGGCTAAGATATATAAAATATATACATATGTTGATATTTATAGGATCAATTATTCGCAAAATGTGACTCGAAATGAGATTCTTACTAGACAACATAAATACATACTTTGACATGTTTGGAGTAGGCAGTCAAACTGTAGATATGTTAATACTGCAGACATATTTTACTATAGACATTATTTTAATAGGCATTTTCATGAAGACATTTTGACTGTAGACCAAAAAAGGTAGCCCTTCTTTTTGTAGCCCCTTTTCTAGTAGACCTACTGTCTGTAAACCGATCAGTGTGGTCATTTATGTTCACATACATCACTAATTGAATCAACTAGTTAAATTTTCGGTATCAATGCATTCCATCTTTTTTCTTAAGTGAGGTGTTCTTTGATATTTTGGGTTGCTCAACAAAAGATCAATTGACTCAAGGCAAGACTTCGACCATCGTTGAATGCGAAAACCTTCAAAATTTCTGAATGAGGATTGGTTGGCATTGCCAAAATCAGAAAACCTTTTATTAGTCGCTTAATTAGAAATCATTTTGTGCCAATTTACATATGAGTCGAATTTCCTTCATAGTCATTTGACAATTACATACTTATTGATACTGGGCAAGTGTGAATTATTTTTTTCTGAACGCTCTCATGTTAAAGTAAGCAATTTAGACTTATGAAAGTTTATTGCAAATGTCAAATTCTGTGAAAAAATTCTCTAACTTTTTGTCTCTCAAAAGGGTGAAAAAATAATTTTTAATATTCTACTCAATAACTGTCTTGTTTACTTTATTTTTTTCAGCTATTTTCGATGCGATGGGAGCCAAAATTAAAGCTGAGGAGGCATCACAAGCAAAAACGTGAAACTCAAAATGTAATCCTACTATAATATTTTAAGTCCATTTCAAATGTTTTACTTTAAACCTGTCTGTTGCTTTAGTCCTAACGTACAAGCTTATTTATTGTTTCCTTGATGAATTTTCTAATGTTACGCAAAATTAAAAACTCACAATAAATTTTTTTCAATCATTCTCAGTTAATTCTTACCGCTAAGTTGTTTGTCACAAATAATTCATCCATCACATTTTTCACTTAATGCACAGTTTAGCGTTTTTACACTAGCCGCAAGCATGATTCAAAGAGAAATTCACTTAAGAATGGAAAATTTAGAGCACTTTCTGTTGTTTGATGAGTGAGGATAGTAATACATAACTTGCTAACAGAGCGTCAAACCAATTTGAAAGTAACATTGTATTTTTTACTCTCAGCAAAGGCTTCAGAAAATTTGAACTGCCTATTCTGGCACTAAACTAAACTTCTAGTTTTTGAGTAGTAACAATGATCCATCATCCTCAAAAAGAGTAAAATATGACTGGCCATCTACAACCTAATCAATATATGTCTTCTTTTGTAGTGTTAGTATCAATATTCAACTATGGTATGAATTGTAGACTCTGTTTCATAGCAATCTGATAAATTGAGGTCTTACACAGGATCGGTCTTCTGGTCCCTTCAAGGGTATCAAATTGTTTCAAATTAACTGATTCCGCAATTTAACAGCTCGATTCGTGAGTCCTAAGAATTTCCATAAATCTAGGTATTACTGTAGTTATTATTATAAATGGAAGGAAAAAGAGAGATTTTCATTATTTGAACAATTGTATTAAGGCTTCATTTTTACACTTATTTTACAAAGGTAATCCGTAATTACATAGATACAACAAATATATAAAGGAAATAAAAAACAAAAAAGTAATTGAAGGTGTAATGATATTGACAAAAAGCAGGGTAAATGACAAGTTTCTGAGAAGATCCATGGTTGTTCTTGAACTCAAGAAGATCAACACTACTGAAACAAGTTTCAAGAATCTAGTGTCCGAACACAAGCTGATACAGCATTAGCTATAAGCAAACAATTACAGAAGCTTGTTAATTTTGTCTAATAACATTACAGAAAGGAGGTAAAATTATTCAAAGGATAAATCAATCATTATGTTAATGGATCGTTTGTAATAGATGATTCCAAGTATTATTACTGGTAGTCTTGAAATAATTTTGATCCAAGAATTTCTAAAGTGATGCATACGATCAAAATTCTTCATAAACTACATGAGAATTTTATGATGAGAGATTACGTATGTGCATCATAAAGTAGAAACAGGGGAAGATACTTGGATACTGAAAGTATTGACTTACGAAAGCATGACATTAATGCGTGAAATAGATATTCACCGGTATGAAGGTGAAAATAATATGATGTATATTAAAGATATAATACTGAGCAAGTGATATCACCAAATGTACTTAAAAATATATTTTTCTGTAAAAAATACCTGCAAATAAATTGTCCAACTGTACTGATTGTCTATAACTAATTGCAAAAGCACACATCACAATTAGAGCGGGTAAGTTGAATAATTTTCTCTCAAATTTTTCAACTCTTTCCTTCAAAGGGAAATTAGTGTATGTGCTTAAAATTTTAAAGTAAGTGTAAAATAAATCCATCGAAGGAAATTCGTGTACTTGAAAATGAACAGAAGAAATTAAAAAGCCGCTTCACAATAATCTACAGACTTTGATCAAATAATTATTGGCAGAAATGAGCAAAGTACAAGTTAAAAATCTTTGGTTTAAAATTAAAGAAATTAAAATCGTTTAGTAGGAAGTTGGATACATCAGCTAACATCAGAGGTTAATGTGAATAAAAATAAACATTTCAGTGACAAAAGTAAACAGAGAAAAGCTATTTTAACGAAGTCTAATATCATCTACGTTTTTGCAAACTAGATATGAGATGTGATCAAAGGCTTGAAAATTTTAAGTGAAATGAGCAGTGACAGGAAATCACTTCACCCTTCGAATAAAACAAGGAGTCCCTTTAAAGAAGGACAAAAAAAAGAGGAATAAAATCATTATGTACTTTCATTGCCCATTTATTAAAAAACCTGGGGCTTTTCATAAATTTGGAGACACTTGTAAGCCTCAAAACAAAAAAATCAGAGATCATGGAGAGGGGAAATTCGTTTTAGTTGTTTCAAATTGTATTTTTCGTTACTAGATATCACTCAATAACGACAAACCAAAGGGGCAAGAACGAGCCATATTTGTTCAACTTCTTCTGAAGGAATGAAAATTCCATTGTCTCATTGCCTTTCAAGTGTTATCATTGGAGTTTCATTGAATCATAGGCATCAAGATCATTTTCTTTTCTAACTCAGCCAAAATCCTAGGACTGGCTTTTGAGACATCCTCTCATTTTTGAAGAATTTTACATTAAGGTGTAAAGCTAAAAGTGAACTGAAAAACGGAAAATACTTTTACTCGCTTCATCTCTGCATTGAGTTAAATAGCCCTTTCCGAGGATCCACAGAGTGTTCTATTTAAACAATCGAAAAATAAATCAATTCCCTAGAATGGGAAGATAATTCGATTTTTCTTTTTCTCCTTACATTAATGTTGAGAAAACGGTCTCTCAAGGGGAATGTGAAATTCTTACTAGCTGGACACGAACAAGAGTACACATTCTCGGAAACCCCTGTCAGGTAAAACAGTCATGCTCCTCTATTCATTCCATTATTTTCATCACACACCTGAAAGCTTAAAAATAAGCGTTATCCATAGCAATATCCATTTACCCATAAATTAAAAGCTCAGGAGAGCTTAAAAAGGATTGCTCAAAATCCAGAATTACCCTGTTGCACTCTCCTTAATCAACAAGCAAAAAGGACAATGGTGGGGGGAGGGGGACAACAATATTAAAAATAAAATCACAATAATTTGACAAAATTACAAGTTAAAAGCAAGTGAAACAAACGATGCTCAAGTTTGGAGGTTTACGGAAGATTTAAAAATATGAAAAAAGACTGCCTGGTGGATGTCCAGCGCCAGAAAACTGATTTTTAAAATCTTCTTTTAGAAAAGTAGAATTTTTGCAACACCGACTACTGTTATCAAGCAGAATTTAGGTTTTAAATATTTACCTGCAAGTTTATACATGAGCAGGTATCTGAAACTGAGCGAAGTATATTACAATCTGTAGGCTCTTTTTGGAGTATCAGAAGTGTTGCAAATATACACAAAAAAAGAGAAGAGAAACAATAATTCTTGCAGAAATATAAATAAAATTTCTCTCCTGCGGCGAAACAGAACATTCAAACTGCATTAAAATGTTAATGAAAAATAGTATAGGTAGAGTGTAGAAGAGAGGGTAAAGTTTGATGAGATGGTACTTTTGACGAGAATCAATTTTTAGCAAATAATAGAACCAGACTTATTGCGATTGAGTGAATCTTGCAATGAGCACATTATACTCTGGTGGATACATAAGTCAATTGTTGAAAATGATGTAACCTCTGTCCATCATAAATAAACGTAGAGCAAACAACCCCTCATAAAATAGTATAATCATGACACTCAGGCGCTTCAAACAGAATTTCAATAAGACCTGTTACTCACTCTAGATACCTTAAAGACTTCAGTGTCTGCTTTTAAAAGAAATTTCTAGAGAATCTATTCTGTAACTTAAATGGGCAAAAGCCACAATTTAACGAAGAACTTGTAAACAAGAACAAACTTTTCCTACATAGTCAATGCTTTACAATTTGACAGCACTGTAAAACTTTCCTTCGAAAAACATAAAATGAAAAGATACAACTACAAAAACAGATAAATAAATTAAAAAATTAATTAAAATAAAGAATGAACCCTGATGATCAACTATAACAAGCATACCTACAAACAAGGTAAAAACAATGATTCAAAAAATGGATGAAGGTCAGTACTTTGATAGAGCTAAGGAATTGTCTAGTCAAATAGTAAAATACCTAAAAAATATAATAATTTCCTGTACACTTAGTTTAACAATACTGTAATCATACAGTTGAAGTTGTACATAAATAATACTACAGTCAAGGAGCATGCACGTGAAATCTTCGCCTGTTTGACAGTGAGGCAGGGAATAAACGCATCTAATCTTGGAGAAAGAAATGAAAAGAGGGTTATTCAAAATCGGCGATTTTACCCTACGCTTGGATTTTGCCCGGAGTTGGATATGTTGTTCCCTATCACAAGACACGCCTTTTTCCGGCATTGGCAAGTTCACCCGAAATTTTTCCCGCGCGCTACAGCGTTGCCAAGTTGAAAACAGGCAAATTCCGTAAGTGGCATCAAAGTTGAGCTATGAAGTTGCAGTTTTAACGAAAATTCTTTAAAAATTACGCACTTTTAGGAAATGACCATGTTTTTAATGTCGCATTAATTTTAACATGCATTATTGCCAAATTTCCGATTTTTAAATTCGACAAATGTTACATATCCGCAAATACCCAAAAAGGCTATCTTCAAATTTGAATAAAAAGTTGTCTAATCGATAGTTCGTTCGATTCCGCATCCATCGATATATTATAGCTTGCTGGGAAACTTTTGGTTCGCGAGATATCATCATTTTTGTGAACAGCTTTATGGAGCGACGACGCTTTTTGAGTCCGGGCGGATAGAAATTTTAGCCTCCAAAAACACCGGGTAGCATTAATTCCATGGTTTCTTATGTAATTTTTGGCGCTGAATCCGAATTTGACCATTTCATAAAAAATTTGTCACCAAGATGTTGCCAAATTTGGCAAAAATTGCTTAAAATCGGCCTTTTTGGCGGATTATAGCCTGTGACTTGCCAGGAATTGATCAGACGACAAAATTGGTTATTTCCACAGTTAAATCTCGTTAAACTATCTACAAGCTGAGTCAAATTCTTTCTGCTCACGATAAAATTAAACGCGCGACAAGCAGCAAACTGAAAAAAAGACACCAAAATTGGCGCTTTTGCGGTTTTTGTCGTGAGGTTTGTGTTATTTTCCGATTAAGAGAATGTTTCTTGACTATACTAATGAACAACATGAGCAGAATTTAATAAAATTGAACAATAAAATAAGATCGAACATATTCCAATGTTGCCAAGCTTAAACAAAATACTTTAATTTTCGCTGGTTTTTTCTATATTATTGTCCTATATTCTTTGTTCACCTCTTATTTTTAAATTTTATAAATGTATCTCTCTTGCAAAATAATACACTTCTGTCGAATGATTTAATTTTCAACTTAGATATATACTAATAACTAGGGTATTTAGTTCAGAGAGGAAAAATTCATAAAATAGTGAGTTTTATCGAATCGTGTCAATAAACCACATTTTGAAACAATAATGGAAAATTTTCTGCTAAAAATTAATGAATAAAATGTACTCCTCAGACTGACTTCATTAAAACAAGACAAGACGCATTGCAATATTGCCAAAATTACGTACAAATCGTTGAATTTTGGCGGTATTTGACCGTTATTATTCATTACGCTATATTTAGTTTACAATTTTATTTTATAATTCTGAGATAATGGAGTTTAATAGAAAAAAGTAACGACACCAAACTGAAGAAGACGCCCAGGAAAGGACAATAAGGGGCTTAAAAAGGAACAAGGGCGCTCCAAATTACTGAGGACCTGTGGGTGGACAAGGGACTATAGCGGTTAGGCGTCGCGGGGCCCGAGAGACCGCTGTTAAAGCGGCTCTTTATCTATATATTATGTAACAATACAATAGTTTGTCGTTACACTCGGCGTAATTCAGATTTTCCTAAGAAACATTCTCTTAATCGGAAAACAAGAAACTTACGACAAAAACCGCAAAAAGCGCCAATTTTGGTGTCTTTTTTTCAGTTTGCTGCTTGTCGCGCGTTTAATTTTACCGTGAGCAGAAAGAATTTGACTCAGCTTGTAGATAGTTTAACGAGATTTAACTGTGGAAATAACCAATTTTGTCGTCTGATCAACTCCTGGCAAGTCACAGGCTATAATCCGCCAAAAAGGCCGATTTTAAGCAATTTTTGCCAAATTTGGCAACATCTTGGTGACAAATTTTTTATGAAATGGTCAAATTCGGATTCAGCGCCAAAAATTACATAGGAAACCATGGAATTAATGCTACCCGGTGTTTTTGGAGGCTAAAATTTCTATCCGCCCGGACTCAAAAAGCGTCGTCGCTCCATAAAGCTGTTCACAAAAATGATGATATCTCGCGAACCAAAAGTTTCCTAGCAAGCTATAATATATCGATGGATGCGGAATCGAACGAACTATCAATTAGACAACTTTTTATTCAAATTTGAAGATAGCCTTTTTGGGTATTTGCGGATATGTAACATTTGTCGAATTTAAAAATCGGAAATTTGGCAATAATGCATGTTAAAATTAATGCGACATTAAAAACATGGTCATTTCCTAAAAGTGCGTAATTTTTAAAGAATTTTCGTTAAAACTGCAACTTCATAGCTCAATTTTGATGCCACTTACGGAATTTGCCTGTTTTCAACTTGGCAACGCTGTAGCGCGCGGGAAAAATTTCGGGTGAACTTGCCAATGCCGGAAAAAGGCGTGTCTTGTGATAGGGAACAACATATCCAACTCCGGGCAAAATCCAAGCGTAGGGTAAAATCGCCGATTTTGAATAACCCTCTTTCTACTATGGATGGATAAACCTTTACCATGCGGCAAAGATACGTTCGTTGAGATGCTTGAGAAAGCAAGCTTAATCCAATTGAAAGCTATGTAACTAGGGACCATTGAATGAAAAATTCTGGGATAATAGACGGCCTGATAGCCGACAAATTGAGAGATGCCTGCCAAATATACAGATGGAATCTTACAGATTGTAAGAAATGATTTCAGATTGAGAGCATTCCCAGAGTTCACAAAATTTACATATGCTGGAAAAATAGTACCTTTAAATCACACTTGATGGTAATTTATCTAATGGGAGAATAGACGTTGATTTCCTGGGCAATGTTGAAACGGTAATGGTGGGGGTTGAAGGAGGGAGGGGGAGATTCAGTGGCATCAGCGGGTCTGGTATAGGAGGGGCAATGGACTCTACTGAACCATTGGAGATTAACAAATCAATTAACGCCTTCATTTTAGCAATGTTTGCCGGGTCATTATTGCCATGAAGCCTCGATGCATTCCGTGCGTACGTCAAACAAGTTCTTCCATCATGATCGACAGCTTTCACATTAGCAGAATACCATAAAAGGAGCTGGACAACAGGCAGGTTACCCATCGCACAAGCTAGGTGTAATGGAGTTCGCAGATCTCGCTGATTCACAGAGGTGTTGACATGTTCTGGTGTAGCATGTGCGAGCAATTGCGTCAGCAATTTCATGTCAGAGCGACACACGGCATCAATAAGCTGTTGCGAGATGGAGGTGTTTAGAGGTAACGGGGTGAGGAATTCTTTTGCTTCATATTTTGCCCGAATCCACCTTTCTTTCTCTTCGCGGCTTGAGCTAGGTGTTGGTTTTCCTTGACCTTTGCTTACATTTGCTTCCCAAACAGAGTTTGCTAGGCTGTTGCCAAGAGCCAACATCACACTTAGATGACTTTGCCTGAAATCAAAAGATGTTTCAACAAAACTTAATTTAAATTCAATTAAATCACTTGAAAGTTACACGCACAGGAAGGAAATTAATTGTTCCGATGGAAATTCCAATTCTTAAACCACTGATTTCATTTCCACTGAGTAATTTCGATTTCTGCAATAAGGAGACCACTTAGTGAGTCTAAGTACACTCCTTGACATTCCAGCAAAAAGTGTTCGATTTTCAAAACTCAGAACATAGCGTTCATACATCGTAAATACAACTTGCTTTTTTTTCTCTGCTCGTGGAACCTCCAGGCAAAAATTTAAAAAAAAAAAATTGTCAGACAGGGAAATAAACGCTCCTGTTGAAAAGTTATTTTTCTGTAAATTAATTAAATTTTTCGAAGAGATCTCAGCAACCTAAAGTCAACTTCCATTTGCATATTTCTTGTTTGAATCCCTTCTGACCTACATCAGGTTAGAATTGAATAGCAAGAAAAGAATGCTTCATAGCACCAAATTCTGACAGGTGTATATTTCAATCAAGAGTAGTGGCAGCCCTGGGAAATTTGCTTACTGTAGCAATGATGGGAACAGCCTGAAAAAGATGGTAGCAGCCAAGCAAACGGCACTCATAAGGATAACTTCAATTCATTCAGGTGCAAACTATCCAGGAAGACTGAGCAAGGGTGACACTTCCTTACTTTCCCTGTCACATTTTGGTGAAATACTCTGACAAATGAGCCAGACAGTTATGAACATATGATCTTGAGATAGTTTCCACAAAAAATCTGTTTTCTGAAATGTCAAACCCATTCTAGAGAGCAAATAAAGGTGACTTGACAATTTTTCCCTGACACTTTTGTCACTTTCCCTGACTTTTAAAACTTCCCTGGAATTTTCCAGTTACCCATAACTGATCTTATTTTCTCTTTATCAATTACCCTTTTATTATTTCGATAAAACAATACTTACGGCCACTCATCAAGATCTAATGACCTGACCCTGGAAATATGTGAGCCAAGATTACGGTGGATTCCTGAACACTCAATACAGACTAGAACGCCCAGATTGAGACTAGCCCAGTCTGGGTTGGGGGAATCACAGTCAGCGCAGTGCGTATTCCCAGCAACGCATGTTCGGAGTGACTGAAGTGTAGCGGCTTCCATAGCGGACACAACTCTCGACTTCGTTTTACTGCTTTCATTGCCCTGAAAAATCAACAAAATGAAACATATAAATTCCTCATGGACAATGCAAACACTAAACAGAGTTGAAAACAAAGAAAATAGAGGGAATAATCTATGGAACAAGTTAAAAAAGCAGTATGAATACAGAGCATTAAGATAAGGGTCATTACATGCCAACTGATGCCACTTTGAAAAAATGACCTCCTCAGAGTTGGATAAAATTTGGCATAGTTAGTGCACGTACATAGCCAAGTCAAAATCGAAAATTTCGAATTTGATTGACCTACCATTGGGCTTTCATTAGACACTAGAAGTTTGCGAACATTGGCTTCTTTTGATGGATGTCCCCACTCTATTGATGTATGATTCCAGAACGGTTTATTCAAAATGAACCGTTCTGGTACAATTAGAGAGCCCTCAACCATATAAATTTTACTTTTAACTCAGCTTTACCGATGGTTTCACATGATGGGAAATGCAATACAGTAAAAAAATTTGAACCACAGTTCATAATCATTCCTTTAACCTACAAAGCTGAATTTTCAAGGCTGAAAGTCACAGGACAACCAATTCATAGGTCATTGCAAGATATGTGGGGGAACTAAGACTTGTATAAATACAAAGGCAATCACCCTTAGATGTAAAATAAGGAATAAATCAAAAAAGTTTGGGAGGGGGGATAAAGGATAAAAAGAGTACAAACCTGAAGAGAATTTAAAATTTGCTGTTCAATGGCTGCAACCCATTCATCGCGCTCCTCTGAGCTGCTTGCTTCAAACTGCCACTGTTTGTTATCCAATGACACGATCAGAAACTCATAGCCATCCGAGTCTTCGCACTCCTGATTCTTCACACCGCTGCTCTTAATTCTTCTGTGACGTTTCTTCACGTTCGGAGTTTCAGTTTTCGAGTCTCCATTTTGGATTCCAAGAGAGCTATTTGTGAGGATCATTACCTAAAAAATAAAGTAGATCTTAAGGATGGCAGACTTTGTGCAGTCTTGTTTGGTGCTCATACTGACCTATAATAATTGGACTGCATTTTGCAATTCTGAACTATAAATTCTGCCTCTTCCAGAAAAACATTTATGTGCATAGGGAAACTAATGGCACATACGTTGTTTTTAAACCGGGCTAGAATCTATGGGTCCAAATTGCAAAATGTAGTCCAATTGAGACCTCTACTCTCTAAAGATGGAAGGTGAACCTCAAACAAGACCTCTTGGAGGTGAGGCATTCACATGCTTCAGGTGATTTGCCCCGCATTCAGGCTTCGTCCAATTGATGAACAATATATTGCATCGATCAAGTCAAAGATTTCAGATTTTGAATTTTTAGTCACAAGAGGGACATTTAGCCCCTGCGCATGAGCCTAAAGAATTATTTTTAGCCAGGAAAATTGTAAAATTCAGAGAAACGAAAGCAGGATTCTTTTTGAAAAAAAACCTTGCATTCGATACAGGAGTTGCTTACGCGGTGTATCCGATGCGAGGTTTTTCCCCCAAAAAGAATTCTGCTTTAATTTCTTGATATTCCGCCAATTTTTTGGCTGACAATGATGATATAGGCTCAGGCACAGGGATTATCATCCTTTTTTGGGCTAAAAATTCAAAATCTGCCAAGATTTTTTTACTTAATCGATGCAATATAGTGCACTCCAATTTGACAACTCCAGAACTTAGGACTAATCACCTTTGCTACATTGCGTTGCTTCGATAGTGATGCCGATTATTTTCGATGAAAAGACATAGAAAATTATATCGTAGAGCTCTTTCACTTCAAGATGAAACGGAGGGCTTGGTAAATCCCAAAACTGCTTAGTAATGAACGACAATCTCACCTTTTCATCTTCGTTTTTCACACCAGGTTCTTTTATTAACTCATAACCAGTTAAAAGAACTTTGTCCGAACATTTTTTATCTTTGGTTTGGTAATTGGTAATTGGCTGGACATCGCTCGAATCGCTGTTGCTGGGTTTTGTTCCTTTGGTTATGCTGGAGTTTGTGATCGTTTTCGAACCACGAGGTTTCTGACCAGGCACTTTTACAGTAACATATTGGAGGGAGATCTCTTTCCCATGAACTTCTTCCATGTAATCCTGCAATGAGAAGGAGATTAGGAATTAGATATGGTAAAAATAAGCACTGGTAAGATCGGAAAATGCAAAAATTATCACAATGCATAATCAAAGTTTTCATGGTAGAGATCAAAAACGAAAAAATAAATTAGATATCTAAATGAGAAATATTTGACGAGACCTTCATTAACAATGTTCAAGACAGATTTTTTATATGTATCAAAATCAACAGCATTTGGAGTAATCATAATTAGTACAAAATATGACTTTTTTAATGTGAATAAAGTATTAAATCTTACATGCAAACTGGGGTGGTATGTCAGTCGTCCATCATCACATAATGTCACATATTTCTTCTTCCATTCTTTATTCAGAGTTTTGCTACTTTTTTTGTACAAATAGCCTTGTTTCAAAGGGATTACTCGACCGCTTCCCAGCTCTCCGCCATTCTTCAATTTGTCGTCTCCTTTTTTTGAAGATGGTGTAAAGAGGTTGGATCTTCGTCTTGTTTTCCTGGAAAAATTGAAAGGCTTTCTTACTGACAGGATTTAAAAAATAACCACAAAGTAAAATTCCTTCTGAGACTGCTGCTCATGCTTTTTCATCTTTATTAGCAAATGAAAGGCTAGAAAACATATGATTCCGTGCCAAAATCAAGGATGTAACAATTGATCGTACTCAAGACTATAAATTATGATCATACAGGTAAAGTTATATAGAAAAATATTAATTCAGAGCATCAACAAAAGGCTGCCTTGAGTCAATTTCAATTTCCTCTGACAGTTCTGCTCATAAAGTTCTTGTAGCAATACGTAACTGGCACTCATGAGAATCCTGTTCTATAACCTTAATTAAAATGAATAAAGATAGAAATTAGGTGATCAAAACGTCTTTTTTATTCTGTGATGAAAATAAAACAGCAACCTGGGTAAAATATAGAAAAAATGAAATAAGATATAGAAAATATAGACAATATTCAGGTTTGTTCTTTCCTTGTTGAGTTTTTTCTATCGTCATCCTGTTTTCAGGATTCATTTACCTTCTCATCAATACTAATAAGTGATAACTTTTTTTTAAAAAAGGCTTGGTGCTCATTTTGAAAAAAGACATGATTTAAAAATAGTATGCAAATATCATCATCTGATGACAATGTTTCCAAACCGCGAAGATGCTTACCTAGAGGTTGTTGGCGTTACAGGTACATCCTTATTGTTAGCTGTCAATGGCAAACCCAGATTGTTAGGGGTGATTTCATTTAGAGAGGCATTACTATCCAGACAGATTGATAAATCTGTTTGTTTGTTCAACTGATGTGTGGAAAGTGACAAGGCGTGCGATAAATGCCTTGACATTCCAGACATTGAGTCCTGAAACACAAAAGCATTACTTAGACTGATGCGATAAAATCACTAAACGACATTGAATTATTTTATACCATTCCAAAAAAGTTTCACCATTTAACTAAGAACAGGGAGAATGAACAGAAACAATTAAAAATAAAATAATAAGCTTGCAAAATTTTCCAAATTACAAAATCTTAACTTTAGAAGTAGAACTATAAAAATAGAATTATGAGTAGAAATGTTCTTTCGGATATAACTATCATAAATCACTCCTAAAAAGTGATAAATAATAAGGAGATGAAAATTACTTCCTTGCTCTGATGTTTTCTTAGAGTTCAGAGATAAATCGGTTCCTTTTCCTCAATCAGATGCAAACGGATGAAATAAAATTGATGAAATTAACCCGATAAAATTGCTGGAATTTGACTGATAAATCCGTCTCTCGTTATGACTGAAAAGCATGAATCTTCAAAAATTTTTGGTGAGATAAATGCGAATAACTAGGCAATTTTTTATGGGACGAAAATGTTTTTTTTTTAAAGCAGAGAAATTTTACAAGCAGTTTTCTGCAATCCAATGTATAATTTGTTCATGAATTAAACTGAATAACTCCTATTTACTTCAGCAAAATAAGCCTTTAAGAGGTCTAAGAAAGAGTCATCATTGGTAAAATTCAAACCCCCGGGGGGATTAAGAAAAATGTGCCTGCTTATCTTACCCATTAAGAAATGTACATTGCACTAAAAAAGCACAACAACGATGAAACTGCAAAAATGTATATCTCGGTTGCGGTGCTCTGAAATCTCAGTCCATATTTTATTTCTTAAAAGGAGACCTAACCAATATCATGGCTTGAAGTTTTCATGGAATACTCTTCATAAAGAGAAGAAATATCACTGGAATTTTCAAAAAATTACATTCAGTACTTTTCCATGTAGAAAATAAAGTATGACAGGAAGTCTGCAATACCGCAAACCAAGGTACGCATTTCTGCAGTTTCACCATCAATAAGGGATTGGCTGAAAAGAAAAAGAAATAATTACCTTGTAGGACAATGTGTGTGAGTGATGCGCTGGTGAGCCAGGAGATGTCGATGCTATATTGTTGGTTGTGGGAGAGCTCGGATAGAAGGACCGAGAGGGTATTGGATTGGTGCAAATTGGGAAGCTATTTAGAAGAGGGGTAGTTGGTCGACTATCACAGGGTGTTGCTAGGCAAGTTGTCGAGGCTGACAGCCTTTGTTGTACTATTTTATGACAAGCTAGAACCAAAAATAAGACAATATGAGTAAATACAGAAAACTGAGACCACTAGGGTATTAAACAAATATCAAAAATAACATATGATACAGTCTGAGGGAATAGACCTGAATTAAATTTTGACACAATTTCGCTGAAGAACAATGTACTCTATAGCTGCAATAATATCATTAAATAAGGTCAACTGACAGGTAAAGAAGGATTCCTCCTCTATTCCTATGATTCTAACTCACCTCCTTAACAAGTGAGAGATATACACCTAGCTGTGGAGCATCCTAATTCTCAATGTGAAATCTGAGGGGTGACTAGGTACGAAAGGAGCGTCTCTACTCGTCAGCACTTTTGACCACAATTCATATATGCCAGCACTGTAGCTTTTATCAGGCATAGCAAATATGATAAAGAATAGCCAATTTTGAAAGTTTTGCCATTTTTTCAAAACTTATTACTACAGCTATTTTACAGCATATAGTTTTCAAAAAATTCAAGTCAATGAAAATCTTATTTGCTTGGCAAAAAGTAGCTACTTCCTATCCACAATTCTTTATTCAGAATGGCTGATTTTGTATCGTTCTCTGAGGCCAGGGAAATGATTTGAAGCCGACCATGGTCTGCACATACTTTGAATCGATTCAAAATCAAGAATCTATGAATTTGATAAAAAATCTAAAACCTCAGTTAATCTTGGGTTCCTCAAAACAGCAATTTGATTGTTGGATAATGTGAGGGATCTTAATGGGAAGATATCTTTGAGAGAATTACTTTGAGATGTTTGGGTGCAGATTATCAGCAGTAGTTAAAAATGCATGAGCCAATCAACAAATTATAATTAGAATCATATCCGACGAGCAGAGGCGGATCCAGCAATTTGGCAACAACGGATTTCCTCCATTTAAACCTATGCTAAATAATCGATTCTCGTCGGAGCACCTGGTCCCTCCAAGAATCGATACTTTTCCATAGGTTTAAATGGAGGAAATCCGGTGTTGCCAAATTGCTGGATCCGCCAATGCCGACGAGGGTGGATTATGTGTAGTTTCTGTTCCTAATGTCAATTTCGCTGCGGGCTTGGTTCAGATGCTCAGAAGTTGGCACGCAAAGATCCGAGCGACTACGAGACTGACGTGGGCCACTTATCGAGCATCGATGTATGAGATTATGCATATTGCTTCGTTTGAAGGGGTTTTAAGACAACGGATTCCTGATTAAGATCAAAGATATACTGATCTCGCCGATCATTGAGGTTCCTGCGTTGTCGGTTGTTAAAAAGTGTCTGAAAGCTAGCTCACAAGAGAAGAGCAGAAGGGAGCTTTGGATGGTTCGTTTCTAGGTTCCAAGTTTTCTATTTTTTAAATTTTGGTTCATGATTATTTGAAAAAAAAAAAAAAAAAACTTAGTCATGATTTTCTGAAATGTGATTTCTGATTATAAAAGCGGCGCACTGCCCTGATCGGGGAAGAAAAGGAAAAAACAATTAAAATATATTTACCATCTTGAAAAACTCTCTCCACGTTCAGTCCGTAAGTTGCACAGGTTTCATAATAGGAACATCGCTTCAGATCTCCGGCCAATTTTCTTGCTCTAGAGTCGTCAATCACGCGTGGGTTGTTTTCACTGATGGCATCTGAAAGAAAAATAGTACATCGGTTAAGAAAAGTAGAAACAAATAACTTCGTGAAAATGAGCAGTTGGGGGCACATTGGCGCTGCCGTGCTAAGGAAAAACGCAGTATGAACCTTCAGCCGTTGCCAAATTTCCTTTGATAAAACACGAATTTCCTGATGAACTTGTGAATATTTTTCTTCCATTATTACAGGTAATTTTGTTCGCTATTTCACGTTAAGTTCCTTAAATTTTCAAGGAGAAACATTCATAACAAACTTTCCTCAAAAATGAACATTTTATCGCAGGGAATTTGGCAACTCTCGAATGTCCATACGGCGTCCTTCCTTAGCACGGCAGAGCGGTGGAACAGCGGTAAAAGAACATGCAAAACCATCATCCTACCGTTTAAGCGTTACTCGACATAAATACTGCACGTTAGTAATTAACTTGATTCAATCGAATTATGGCTCCGAATTGCAAAATGCAGTCCGATTAGCGGGTGGAAATTTCGCAGCGTTGAAAAGCAGTTAAACGAGTGACGTTGTTTCCTCGGAAAAACGACGATATCAGAGAAAGTGACGAAGGACTTGTATTCGACCGCAAACGCTGCCTCCCTCCGCGAGCGATACGGAGGTAAAAGAAAAGGAAGAAAAAATTAATAACAGGGAGGCGAAGAGCCCCGGGCGAGGACAGGCGGTGCCGGGAGCTTGGAGTATTCTGCCTTGCTAAGGAAAAACGCCGTATGAACCTTCAGGCGTTGCCAAATTTCCTTTGATAGAATACGAATTTCCTGGTAAAATTATGAATATTTTCCTTTCGATTTTTCAGATGATTTTGTAAACGATTTCACCTAAAGTTCCTGAAAATTTCGAGGAAAAATATTCATAGCTTTCCCCAAAAATAAACGTGTTATCGGAGGAAATTTGGCAACTCTCGAATGTTCATACGGTGTTTTACCTTGGCTCGGCAGTATTCATGAGTCTTTTGTGGTCGGCGGATCCTATTGGAAATGGAGTTTGCATGTTGCATGTTGCCGCCGAGCCGGGACCGGGCACCGGTGACCACTTGACTACCTCAGTGATTAAACTTTCGCCGTCGTTGGATTCGTTCGTGTAACCGAGCTCGGGGCTTGTCCACTGTGCTTGTAATAACTGCAGTTACGCGCCGCCATTCCCGCATCCATGCCGCCCTAGAGGTCCTTGCCCTTCTTGCCGATCCCGGCTCCATCCACGCCTAATTGACAAATCTTGTCCTAAATTGCAATTTTATCGTGAAACAAAAAACTTGTGTACATGTGGAAAATAAGACACGAAGCAACACAAGCCGTTGCTTGATTTTTTTTTTTTTGTGTTAGTTTACATCGGAGTACCTAGAGTACCTTGCACACGGGAGAGTATTGACATCTCAATCCTTTTACAACCCTGGTAAAAATTGGCAGTAGAATCTGTGTTCCAAAATACCATAGACCTACAGCCGACTGTTAGATTTCCAATGGCTTCTATAGCCGGCTACACAATTTCTTATAGCCTTTTAGAGCCGATGGCGATTAAGCAACAGCCAGGCGATAAAGTGTATGCTAAACGTTACTAATTACGGATGCTAGGACTTAGTGAGTTTTTGGACCACTGCTCTCTTTTTGAGCCGTAGTATCTTGATTTATTTTGCGAGGAAAGCTCCGTACTTTTGATGGATGCCTGCCATTACTAATATATTAGAGCGCCTTCAGTTTCGTACGATGCTGTGCAATACCTCGGGTGTGAAATGGTTGCTTCAAGCGCCGTGGCAGGCGGGCCCGCGGGCAGCCAGCGCGAAACACGCATTGGCGCCTACAAACCTAACAGGGATACTTCACGCATTGTGCAATGCGTGAAGTATCCCAGTTAGGTTTGTAGGCGCCAGTGCGTCGCCGCTCCGCTTTGTTTAGGCTCTAATATTTAATCTGGCGGAGTCAGCGTTATTCAACACATGATTTTGAAATGTTTGCACATCCTGAATGGATTATTCTCATTTTAATTGATGAAAAAAAATATGTATTAAAGGAAAATATAATGTGTGTTTTGTAAATATTAAGGTGGTTCCGTATCAAACTTAATGATTTCCAAAGCACACGAATTTCTACGCAATCTATACTATAAGCTCCAAGACCTCCTAATTTTGCGAAACTGGTGACGCTTAGTTCCAGCGTTCTACCGGGCCGATTTTCATGATTTTTGCGGCTATCGACGGGCAATTGTCTCTAGATAAGCCAACTCTTTTTAGATTTTCAAAATATGGCCCAGGTTTTTTTATATTACGTGGTAAAGTTTCGAATTCTCCCATTTAAACAATGAAAATTTATACTTTTTGTCATAGTTCTTTTGAGCGTTCTACCGGGCCGATTTCCATGATTTTTGCGTAGATCGACAGGTAATTGGCCCTGGATGAGCCCGCTTTAATTAGATTTTGGAAATAGGACCCAGGTTTTTTTTAAAATCACGTTATAAAAGTGAGTGAATTTACAGAATGCTCCGGGACTGCTACCGCTATGCGCGGGAGGATGCGCAGTGGTCGAAGAGGTTGCGCAGTGGATGTGTAGCCTGCGCATCAGCTCTATACTTATCTACACAAGATTCGCACCTCCTCCCTTAAGACGAGCGGTGGCCGAGTCGTCCAAGACATCGAATGCGTCCACTTAGACTACGATGTGGGTTCGATTCCCGACTTTTGATATACTTAATTATTACCTGATTATCATTGTTCGTTGTTTTACTGCAATACTTCATCAAGCAGTCATTCTAAAACGCTTTCTTTTGACTTCAAAAAATTATTTTTTTCTTTATTCATCAAAACCAAAAATTATTTCATTCTACAAGTAAAGTATACATCATATCGTAATTTTTTAGGGGGAAAATAAACCTAACACTGATAGGAGGGTAAAAATAGGGCCGCTGGCCCATTGATGGCGCGGAGCGCCTTCAGGGGGTTGGGCCGCGTAGCGGCCAGGGTTTCTTATAGCCTTTTATAATCGATGGCGAAAAAGCAACAGCCAGGCGATAAAGTGTAAAGCCCGGCGATAGGAACTATAGCCCGGCTGCATAATTTTTTATCGCTTCGTATAGCCTGGCCGTATGATTTTCTCCGCATTCTACAGCCAGCTATATGATTTTCTGTAGCCTTCTTTAGCCGGCTATAAGAATTCCTATGGTATTTTGAAATGCAGCTCTAATCGCCAATTTTTACCAGGGAACAGAAAAAGTGTGCCACTCTCTGATTGGTCGGGTATCATGAATCCCCAAAGTTGGACCAATGTAAACAAACTCCAGCCCCTCAACTCCTGTTTTGGCCCAATGTAAACAAACAAGATGACGACAAAGTTCTAAACGTGATTTTGGATGTGATAGAATTTTTCTTATGATCAACTTCTGAATTGAGTTCGGTTCGACCTTTAATGGATATTTTCGCCGAAAATTAACCATCGAGTGTGATAATCATTCCTTTCTCAGCCGATAATACGTATTCCTCCGGGTCGGGTTTGTTTACATTGGTCCAACTTTGGAGCTCCATGATAACCTAAAACTGACGAACCAATCAGAGAGCGGCACGGAGAGCGGCACAGAGATGGCAATACTCTCCCGTATACAGGTACTCGAGGTAAAATCTTGTGTATAAATACGCCCCTGCGAGATGTGATCTTCAGGGATTTTAGAAAAAATCTCCTACGATTCAGAACTTTCCGCGTGATCGATTGACTATTGAATCGTTCTGGGAGAAGCTTAAGATCCACCTCACGTATCCTGATAGAATGTATATGCATGAGCAGGGGTCGAGCGGCAACATTGCATCATCGCCTCAATCCATAGGCATTGTAGTTGAAAGTCGTTTAGATTACTCTCATTGTGGGATCGATCAGATCCTAACAATGACGTAACCTGTAATAGCTTCGTGTTCGGATCACAATGCATTCAGATGCACCACTAGACGGATAATAATAAAAATTACCATCGAGACACGACTTCTCGAAATGTGACGCGAAGCATTTGACACTTCCAAAATCATCGTATCCTCAAGAAATTACAGTTTACACTGTAGGAGTCCATCAGTGCTGTGGCTTACTTGGCGATGTATCGATATTTTCCCATTTAAAGCTTTGGTAAAGAATCAATTATTAAGGTGTTCGTTGCGAATACCCTGTTTATCGATCCTTCCAGTAGTTCCAGTGGCGTAGGTAGGAATTCTTTATCGGGGGGGGGGGGGGGGTGTCCATTCAAAAACCTTACAGTAAATTTACATTATTTTGTGTACGTCCCTGATAATATTTTATGTCTGCCCTCCAAAAGTAGAAAAAAAGGTACAATTAATGAGGCTAAAAGTGGAGGGAGGGTCCGGGCCCCTGGCTCCCCCCCCCCTTTGGTTTAAACGGCAGATCAATCGATACATCGCAAAACACGCCACGTCACTGGAGTCAACGCTTTTCCACTTCCGGAAAAGAGTCAAAATTAACGGCAGTCTGCTGCCGAAAAATTTTAGTTTCATACGAGTCCCTGCTTTCTTCACGAATACTCTGTTGGTAAATGTGTCCAGAGACGCAGAGGACATTTTTCTTTACAACTTATTAATATAGGTTTTTGAAAATATTCTAATTTTCGGGCAAATTTGCATGAGGATGAAAATTGCACGCTGACGAAAATCGATGGATGTTAAAGCGCGCTTGCACTCAGCGGAGAAATAAGACGAGGTACGCGCTGACTGCAAATATTGACACATATTTTAGGGTGACTGAACTCGACGGACAGATGAACGAACAGCGACCGAAAGCATCTTCAGCGCGCTTTTTTCAACTTTGCGAAGCGGTGGAAAGTATATATTGACGAAAAATCGAAAAACATTTGAGTGCACACCTCTTAAAAGAGAAAATGTGAGCGCAGGCTAAAACTGCGGAAAATTTTTCATCAATCCAGTGACTTGCGTCATGGCGTGGCAGATCTTTTCATCAAGTCTTGGAAAGTTTCCAACTTTTCCTGATATCCGCAAACTCGGAAA